ACATCTGGGTATTTTTTTCGCAATCGCTTGACGATCTCCATGCTGGGATCCCCGTCTTCGTGTATGCAAAACAGTATCTCGTAGATAGGGTAATTCATTGTGAAGAAAGTTTCAAGGTTGGTCTCGAGATTGGGGTCCGCACCGACGAGGGGCTTCAAGATGGACACCCCTGGCCAATTTCGAATTCCACTGGTCAACTTTCGCTTTCTGTGTAGCTTCCAGATTCCATAACAGATAGGTGAAAAATGCGTAACAAACCAGGTCACGCTCCAAAAGGATAAGAGAGACGTCGACGGTGAGGAGGATCGCTTGCCACATGTTGACTTTAGTAATTCGATTGATCTTCCTGAGTCGAGCGTTGCGTCCTCAATGTACATTGGCCGATTCTCTGCAGAGTTCCAAGGAGGATGGTTCTTCTTTCCGTCATGATTGGCAGATTTGTGTGAATGAGGAAATAACAGAAACGGTCTGGAAATCCTTCCAACAGAGGGAAATTCACCTTGCTGTGTCATTGTGTTTTTCTGATGTTATTAAATTTCCCTTCTGGGAGACGTGAACGCGACTGTTATGTTTAGGTTGTATTCTCATACTTCAAGTCTTGGCGTTCTACTAATTCTCTTTCTCGAATTCTTCTTAGTAATCTTAGTATTTCTTGTTATATTTTCCTATAAGAGCATGAATTTACTCTAGAAAATTTCCATCCATTTCTCCTGCGCAATCGGGACGCCCAATTTCAGTTTCAGCCGTTCCGCACAATCTCGACACTATGATTGTGGAATGCTTTGGTGAACACTGCCGGGCTGTTTATTTTGAAGCGAAGAAAAGCTAACTGCAGCTCTGTTGTCATAATAGTAAGGTTTTCCATACGAACCCATTCGAGTATCCGCCCGAGTTCAAAACGCTGTTGTGGGGAAAATACAAACGTAAGCGCAATTTTCGCATTTAACTGGCAGTACAGCAACGCAAACGCGTTTGCTTCCTTCGATGCTACAATTGTTGACATTCCTGGTAACGATCTATACTGCTTCATAACATCCGGCGACATCTATCACCTGGCTATGAATAGCCTACAAACGTTTGATGGTGTCGTTCCTCCGCTAAATCAAAATAAGCAACCAGCATATGCTGAATTCCGCTTTTTTCATGCGGAGAAAGCGGTTCAAATGAAACGGCGCATGGAAATTCGCAAGGGAAAATACATCGCTGGTTCTTCAACAATGCGCCAATTGGCACTGGTAAAGCATTCCCGGACGCATATTTTGAAACCTTACTCGTGTTCGAACACTGGGACCGGAACAGCCAATCAAACTCCACCATGGAGTCATGGTGGGAACATGGCTACCCCCGTAGCCGCTGCAAGTTAAAGCGAATCAGGCACAACGCACGAATAAACAGGTCACTGGGCATATAGCTGAGTTCGAAAAGGATATGGGCCTATGGGTTTTCTCACTTAACTTGGACATCTCAACGCAGGCTTACCTTTTCCTAACTGCTACCACCATGACACTAGGCCTATGCTACATAGGTAAATATTGGTCACGCGATGGCATATGAAGAGATATGAAGTTAGGCCTAGGTTTCAATTAGCTTAGTGACCAATAGTAATTTTTTATGAAGCATCATGAGGTTGAAGGTAATCCAAGTGAGGAATGTGTGTCTTGGTACTGGTTTGTAGCGACTACGCTTTCAATGATAATGTTCATTTGGTAGCATGGCATTATGGGACATCTGATTTATGCATTCACCCCATATAGCTTGAAGGACTGAAACACATTTTCAGAGGGAAAGTATTGTAAATCACCTAATCTACCGGTGACAAGAAGTACATAGTAGACATTGTCAGTAGGATGTACCAGAATGCATGGGATATTGGTTGCTCTCAGGTCATTGAATGGCTCTCACCAGCTCAGTCTGGTTCTTTTAGCATTCATTGATGACCGTGTTCTGGCAAAACTATAATTTGCAGTTGCTTGCCTTAATGTATTCTTTTTCTTTGATGTCTAATAAGTGCTCCAAAAAAGAGCATGAAGATGCTTCCTTGCCAATGTCCCAGGGTTAGCACTTCGTCACATCCAGGCTCTTCATATTTTCTCCTAAAGGTTCCAAGTACACCCCAGGAATTCCTATAGGGTTGCCGTTTACAGGAATCCTTTGACTATATAAATGCACGATGAAATTTAACCTAGAAGACAATGTTAGATGTGCACCCTGGACTGTAACATATGGGAATGATTCTGAGAGTCATCACCGATTTAGATGGGAATATTGAAGAGATGAGAGATGAGATCAGTGAGACAAATTAACGGACGGAGAAAAAACTTTTGGAGAATGGAAGTCTCCAGAATAGTCAACCTCCCAGGTAGCACACAAAATTGATTCAACGTTGATTGGGTGTCGATTGAATGTGCCGCTGCTGACGGTTTATACCTCCATGTTGAATCAACATTGATTCAACGCGACAACCGTCACCGTTTTTGTGCCCATATGGCCTCAACGTTGATTCAATGCTGCATTTTTCACTATGGATATGTAAACCATTAATGAACATCGATTTAATGGATTCTTTTGCAATATATGATGCGTCTTGGGTTGTGTATACCGTTAGGGTTTTTAAAATCCGTACTTCATCTAGGTTTGTCGAATAGTTCAGCCAATCCGCCAGATGGAATTTCCATCAAGAAAAACGTTCGAATAATTGCAAATAAGACAGTGGCTGAAAG